GGAACAATATGCCTCTGAGACGAGGGTTGGATGGGATTTTTTGAGAGAAACAAACCATTTGTGCTGTGGTCGTCCACCAGTATGATCTCTTTGAGCAGGTGGGCTGGAGTTCTGTTGATGATGCTGCAAATGGCTCTTTGAATGACAGACAGAGCCTCATCCAGATAAATCAGCACCACGCTGAGGGTGGGCAGATTGTGGGGGTATTCGCGGCCAATGCATCTACAGAAATGGATGAATGCATCAAGATGGATGTTGAATTTTTAGTGTTTCCATAAACCGCTGAAACTCACCTGTGGTCCCGAGTGTCCAGCAGCTCCCGGTCACTTGCCGTTGATAAATTTGATGTAATGTCGTGTTAATTCCTCTTTGCTAGCTAATACATTAGCGTTGCCGAGCTGGTTAATCTTCAAATAATAAGATACGACAATAAATCATAAACTTTCAAAAGTTTTTTTAAGGAATAAAGAAGCTTGAAAGGCTTACCTGTTCTTTTTCGTGACTCTTCTTTGAGTGAGCTCAGCTCAGCTCTATGGTCACTGAGGAAGGCATTATAACCGTATTTCTGAAAGAGATCCTCAGCCTTCCTCTGGTCATCCTCAGAAAGTTCAACAGTCCATTGCTTGAAGAGGTATGAGTTTGGGAACAACTTCTTTGCTGGTTTCTTCTCATTTTTCTCTGTGAGGCTGTTCTCTTCTGCAATTTTTGTTTTAATTTTAGTTCACTAAAATTGGTTAGAATCTTTAACTCTGGTATAAATATATATAGGTATGTTGCAAACAATTTATTTTAGCTACATTTAAATAAAAAATGTTGAAAATTAGTCAACTAAATTTATGTAAATGTAGCTAAAATAAATTGATTGCAACCACTTTCCTTCAAAAAATGTAGTAAATTCAATGAATATTTTCCCCTCAGTGAAATATAGTAAATATATATAAATATAAATAGTAAATATATTTACTATTGTTTATGTATTTATTTGAGTAGCTTTTAATTAGTTATAATAACCTATAGCCCTATACGCTATACAAACATATTTTCTCCAAAAACATTATTTAAAAGAAAAATTTAGTTCACTAAAATTGGTTAGAATCTTTAACTCTGGTATACCAGCAAAGACATTCACAAATTTCTGTTGGTGTATCTATTTAAAAATTGGTTGTCTATAATCACTTTAAATTACATTGATATAAACCCATAATGTTGCTTCAAAATGGTGCTAAATAATATTGTGATATTAATATTTATTATTATAAATAATATTGTGCATGTACATGAAAACTGTGCACTGACTCAAAAAAAGTTGCACTCAGTACTTTTGAAAAAATATTTTTAAAGAGGTTTTAAAGCCCAGTCAAATTAGCAGCGTTTCCTCATGGGGGCAGACAGTTGAAAAACTACTCACTTTATCTTAGTAATCCTCCTGCTATCTGGCCGTTTATTAAAAATCACTGACTGCGAATAGAGTGTTCAACAACTGCATCAAGTTATGACATTTTTAAAATTACAATAAGAAAACTTAAAAAGGTCAAAAGGCCTTATATATACAGTATCTCACAGAAGTGAGTACACCCCTCACATTTTTGTAAATATTTTATTATATCTTTTCATGTGACAACACTGAAGAAATGACACTTTGCTACAATGTAAAGTAGTGAGTGTACAGCTTGTATAACAGTGTAAATTTGCTGTCCCCTCAAAATAACTCAACACAGCCATTAATGTCTAAACCGCTGGCCACAAAAGTGAGTACACCCCTAAGTGAAAATGTCCAAATTGGGCCCAAATAATATTAATGCAGAGTGAGTGAACTTCAGTTTTTGGCCATGCAATACAGACAGTGTTTACTCAAAAATGTGACTACAAATATACTACGACTTCAGGTTATTTAATAATGTACTTTGAAAGTATACTTTCAATGCATTGTTACAATGATCATTTTCAGCACACAGTTAAAAAATATTCATAAAATATATTTAAGTAAAGTGCAAATAAATATACTTATAAAAAACAAACAGAACATTCAAGTATATTTTTGTAAAATATATTTTTAGAAAATATACTAAATTACAATTGTTTTAAAGTGTGTTAAAAGTTGTATTGTGAAAATAGACAAAAGCATGATGCTAATATACTTTTTATATAAAGATAGCATATTTACAAAAATGTGAGGGGTGTACTCACTTCTGTGAGATACTGTATATATAAATGCATTTATTTCTTCTGTGGAACACAAAAGAACCTATTTTGTAAGTAGGGTCAATTTTGATTTCATGCCACCTTTAAATGCTTAGAGAGTGACGTAAAAACACCAGCTAAACAGAAAGAACTAAACAGATACTAGTAACTCACCCACGGCTATTAAATGAGCCTCCAGTTTGTCCAGCTTGTTGAGCAGAAGTGCGCTGTGTAACGAGAAGTTCTGCTGGACTTGGTGGAGCTGCTTCTCTTGAGTTTGGATTTCCCACTTAACAGAGCTCATATAGAGAAACACCACAGCGACAGACAAGACTGGAAACAAACTCTTCACACAGCTTATTCTCATGATGATCAGAACAGCAAAGATCACAGTTCTGAAAGATTTTTAAAGATTTTCTAGATGTTTTCCTTCTTCAGGTATCAGTTATTCTGCGAGGCTGTCACTGGTCCATGTTTTATGGTTACAATTTTGTGACTGATTTATGCTGTCTGATGTTTATCACTTTATCTCTATGATTCATGCTAGACTGGGAGACACCACAGCGACAGACAAGACTGGAAACAAACTCTTCACACAGCTTATTCTCATGATGATCAGAACAGCAAAGATCACAGTTCTGAAAGATTTTTAAAGATTTTCTAGATGTTTTCCTTCTTCAGGTATCAGTTATTCTGCGAGGCTGTCACTGGTCCATGTTTTATGGTTACAATTTTGTGACTCTGATTTATGCTGTCTGATGTTTATCACTTTATCTTTATGATTCATGCTAGACTGGGAGGGAGGAAACCAGGACATTGAATCCTGGTAGCGGTGGAAGAATTAAACATTAGGTACAGCTTTTCACTTTTAAAAATATCAATCATATCATTCATAATATCATTCAGTGAAAGGAACCAGGCAGACACCACAGTCCATCAACACTTATTGAACATAAAAAAAACAGGTCTGTAGATTTTCGACTGCAGGCTGAATTGAACTATACAAATTATAAATTAAAAATAAACTTGCTAAAATATCCAATTAATACAAAACTGTTAAAATGTAAACATTTAATTGTTACAATTGGTTTTAAATAATTGTAATTTTTGTCATGTAATGTTATTTATTAACTGAAATTTTATTTAGCCTTAATTTAATGATTACAGATGGCACTCATTATACCAATAATTACTGTATGTGATAAAAATGTAACACTATTGACAGTATTGTAACATTGTTAATTTATAAAGAAACACTCTGGTTCTGCAAAAAAATCCTGCTTCCTGCAGTTTACACAGGTCTTTTTTTTTTACTAAAAAAGACCCAAGTAAAATTTGCCAAACCAGGAAAAGTCAAACATACTTTACAATGCAAAACGGCAATGCAGATCATAAATCTAATGATGACCCAAAAAAAAAAAAAAAACGAACATTTCAAACCTAGGTCTCTTCCGAACCTGACAGAATCAATACCTCAAGACTTCTAGAACTGGCCTTGAAAATCCAGATTTTGAGGTCCCAGTCCAGATGCATCTGGTCACTGAGGAAGGCATTATAACCGTATTTCTGAAAGAGATCCTCAGCCTTCCTCTGGTCATCCTCAGAAAATTCCACAGTCCATTACTTTAAGAAATTTGAGTTTGGGAACCTTTGAGCAGGTGGGCTGGAGTTCTGTTGATGATGCTGCAAATGGCTCTTTGAATGACAGACAGAGCCTCATCCAGATAAATCAGCACCACGCTGAGGGTGGGCAGATTGTGGGGGTATTCACGGCCAATGCATCTACAGAAATGGATGAATGCATCAAGATGGATGTTGAATTTTTAGAGTGTTTCCAAAAACCGCTGGAACTCACCTGTGGTCTCGAGTGTCCAGCAGCTCCCGGTCCAGAGGCAACTGGTCACTGAGGAAGGCATTATAACCGTATTTCTGAAAGAGATCCTCAGCCTTCCTCTGGTCATCCTCAGAAAGTTCAACAGTCCATTCCTTGAAGAAATCTGAGTTTGGGAACAACTTCTTTGCTGGCTTCTCATGTATCACTTTGGGGCTTCTCTCTTTTGCAAGAATTTGTGTTCATCAAGTATTTAAAATCTAAAACAACACTGAAGCAAAACTTACATTAGTAACTCACCCACTGCTTTTAAATGAGCCTCCAGTTTGTCCAGCTTGTTGAGCAGAAGTGCGCTGTGTAACGAGAAGTTCTGCTGGACTTGGTGGAGCTGCTTCTCGAGTTTGAATTTCCCTCCTCATCAAACTCATATAGACAGCGACAGACAAGACTGGCATTTTCTGTTTTCCCTTATTCTGTCATTGGTCCTGTCACGCTTGTAACAGTTGTGTGAAAGTATAGCTTAGGTGATGCTTAGGCACTCTGGCAAAAGGTTTGCATGCAACGACTTCAGTATTGATTAAATTTCTTTATTAAATGTAACATACGTGCAAGCAGAGGCTCCGCCCTAAAAGAGAGAGAGTACTTGAGAAACATTTCATCCACCTTCATACGACACTCTATTTTTTCCTGTACACCCTAATTTAAAAAATGAGATCTCATAATCTAAATTGTCACCATGCTATCTAAATAATACTAAAGCAACACTACTTCACACAAGCAATGCAATATTGCTTTAAGATAGAGAATTCCATCTAGGTGAGCAAATATTTCATTTATTGCCAAATACTGAAGTTAGCTGAGCAGTTTCACACCATTTGACATGGACCTCAATGTGGGCATCCAAAATGGCAACCACATCCCCAGTGGCAGCCTTCCACCCTGAGATTCTGGCCTGGGAAAGTCCTTTCTGCTCTGAATGGGTCACCAACTTTACCAGGCCTGGGTGCTTCTCATTGATGGAAGTGATATAAACATGCAGCTGTGTTTTCAGATCTTCTGTGGAACAGGTATATCCAGAATTAATAACTCATTTTGTGAACAATATGCCTCTGAGACAAGGGTTGGATGGCATTTTTTGAGAGAAACAAACCATTTGTGCTGTGGTCGTCCACCAGTATGATCTCTTTGAGCAGGTGGGCTGGAGTTCTGTTGATGATGCTGCAAATGGCTCTTTGAATGACAGACAGAGCCTCATCCAAATAAATCAGCACCACGCTGAGGGTGGGCAGATAGTGGGGGTATTCACGGCCAATGCATCTACAGAAATAGATGAATGCATCAAGACAGATGTTGAATTTCATAGCGTTTCGATAAACCGCTGAAACTCACCTGTGGTCTCGAGTGTCCGGCAGCTCCCGGTCCAGAGGCAACTGGTCACTGAGGAAGGCATTATAACCGTATTCCTGAAAGAGATCCTCAGCCTTCCTCTGGTCATCCTCAGAAAGTTCAACAGTCCATTGCTTGAAAAGGTATGAGTTTGGCAACAGCTTCTTTAGTGACTTCTTATCATTTCTCAATTTAAGGTTTTTTTCTTCTGCAAGAATGTTTCATTTTAAATATCGTCTAAAAAAATCGCTTCAAATTACATTAATACAAACCCACCAAAATGATTAAAATAATATTGTACATGTACATGTTAAACTAAAGGTGCACTCAGTCATTTTTTTTTTTTTTTCATATTTTTGATTGTACTTGTCAAGTCATATCACTAGCCTAGTAACATTAGTAAAATTTCCAAGGAGTGAGTTGGCAAACAGGTTGAGATCACATGACCAACTTGCTTTATCTTCATAGTCCTACTGCTTTTGGCTGTTTTTATAAATTAATAATGGCTGACTATGAATAAAACATTCAACATTTGTATCGCTGACTGAAGACATCTACTTTCGTGTGATTATTCATATCACAGATAGAACAAGTTATTTACTTCCTTTGTGGAACACAAAAGAGAATATTCTGAAGAATATTCTTCTCTTAAAAATAAAGGCTCCAAAAGAAGGTTTTGACAGCAATGCCATAGAAGACCCATTTTAGATTAAGAATCTTTAAGTGAACAGTTATTAAAATATTTTTTTTCTTAGTGCAAAGAATTGTAATAATTTTTACATTTCAATAATCTGAAGAAACTTTTTCCACTATAAAGACTCTTCTATGCAATGAAAAGATACCATGACGGTTAAAGGTTTGCAAACATTGATACCAATAAAGAACCTTTATTTTTAAGATTGTTGGTAACCTAACAGTTTTAGTTTCTATTTACTTCAATAGTATGGACCCAAAAATTGTCTACATTTTTTCAAAATATCTTCTTTTATGTTTCACAGAAAAAAAGTCAAGGTGAGCGAATGAACTGTAAAAAAATAAATAGGGTCAATTATGATTTCAAGCCAACATTAAAGATTGCTAAGAAACATCAAATTCGATTACTAAAAAGATTTAACATTAATAACTCACCCACGGCTATTAAATGAGCTTCCAGTTTGTCCAGCTTGTTGAGAAGAAGTGCGCTGTGCAACGAGAAGTTCTGCTGGACTTGGTGGAGCTGCTTCTCTTGAGTTTGGATTTCCCACTTGACAGAGCTCATATAGAGAAACACCACAGCGACAGACAAGACTGGAAACAAACTCTTCACACAGCTTATTCTCATGATGATCAGAACAGCAAAGATCACAGACCGAGTTGTTTTCTTGATGTTTTCCGTCTTCAGGTGTCAGTTACTCTCTGAGGCTGGCACTGGTTTACATTGTTCGGGTTCAAGCTTTTGTGAAACTAATGTTTGCTGACTGTTTGACACTAATGTTGGTCACATTAATCATAACAAAACAGAGGGAGAAAACCAGGACATTGAATCCTGGTAGAGTTAAACACTGGGTACCTGAAATGTTATTTAGCCTCAATTTAATGGATGGCACATGTTATACCAATAATAAATGTATGTAATAAAAATTTATTTTTTAAATTGAAAACGACCCAAATAAAGTTCACTAAACTATGAAAAGTCAAATATACTTTACAGTGCAAAATTACAATGCACACTGTATTTATCAATGAGACTGTTCACAAAAAGTTTTGTGGTTTTGAGTATTTTACAATATGCGGCACTGAAAACCTTCATTAAACAGACTTGGCACACAGTATTACACATCAAGTTAATTTATGAAGGAACACTGCTTCTGCAAACAAGACCTACAAGTTACACAGGCTATTTAACAAACTATAAGTTTAACTATAAGTTACTCCGAAAACGAAGTGGTGATGAACTGGTTTTCAGTTTTATTTGCATATTGCTTTCACAATAAATATTGTTCAAAAGAAGCTCTACAAAAATAAAGGTCCACCCCATATAACTGTGGCCAGGAAAAGCTTCTCTTGTTCTCCTCTCCTCCACACATGGCTCTTTTTAACCACTAGAGGGAGGCATCGCTTGAGCATTAACTGAGGGAATACAACACATTTATTACAGGAAAGGAATACAACACATAACTTATAGTGGGAAGTCGTGGCCTAATGGTTAGAGAGTCGGCCTCGTAACCCAAAGTTCGAGTGCGGGTTCGAGTCTCGTACCGGCAGGGATTGTAGGTGGGGGGAGTGAATGTACAGCGCTCTCTTCCACCTCCAATACCACGACTGAGCTGCCCTTGAGCAAGGCACCGAGCCCCCAACTGCTCCCCGGGCGCCGCAGCAAAAATGGCTGCCCACTGCTCCGGGTGTGTGTTCACGGTGTGTGTGTGTGCACTTTGGATGGGATAAATGCAGAGCACTAATTCCGAGTATGGGTCACCAGTACATGTCACGTCACTTCATTAACAAATATAAGATGTTTTCACTACCTAAATGCAAAGAGGTTCATATTTGCATTTAGGTGCGGCACTGAAAACCTTCATTAAACAGACTTGGCACACAGTATTACACATCAAGTTAATTTATGAAGGAACACTGCTTCTGCAAACAAGACCTACAAGTTACACAGGCTATTTAACAAACTATAAGTTTAACTATAAGTTACTCCGAAAACGAAGTGGTGATGAACTGGTTTTCAGTTTTATTTGCATATTGCTTTCACAATAAATATTGTTCAAAAGAAGCTCTACAAAAATAAAGGTCCACCCCATATAACTGTGGCCAGGAAAAGCTTCTCTTGTTCTCCTCTCCTCCACACATGGCTCTTTTTAACCACTAGAGGGAGGCATCGCTTGAGCATTAACTGAGGGAATACAACACATTTATTACAGGAAAGGAATACAACACATAACTTATAGTGGGAAGTCGTGGCCTAATGGTTAGAGAGTCGGCCTCGTAACCCAAAGTTCGAGTGCGGGTTCGAGTCTCGTACCGGCAGGGATTGTAGGTGGGGGGAGTGAATGTACAGCGCTCTCTTCCACCTCCAATACCACGACTGAGCTGCCCTTGAGCAAGGCACCGAGCCCCCAACTGCTCCCCGGGCGCCGCAGCAAAAATGGCTGCCCACTGCTCCGGGTGTGTGTTCACGGTGTGTGTGTGTGCACTTTGGATGGGATAAATGCAGAGCACTAATTCCGAGTATGGGTCACCATACTTGGCCACATGTCACGTCACTTCATTAACAAATATAAGATGTTTTCACTACCTAAATGCAAAGAGGTTCATATTTCATATTTCATTAGATTACAAAAACATCTTTGCTTAACCCTCATGTTGTGTCCTGGTTATTTGTGTTCAGGATTTTCTTTTTCCCAAAAATGCTAGTTAATGTTATTGCATTAGACTAAAACTTACAGACTTCACTGCTCTCAGAGTGTAACAACTTCCCAAATTTTTTCTTTGGTGTTCCCAATTTGAGTTTATACATTTCTTGTTATGCTATATTATTACCAAATATTGGATTCAATCTTGTTTCCTTTCAATTTGCACAGATTTTGTATTTATTTTTGGAACTGATTGATCACAGGCCTGATCTGAGCTTATGCATCTCAGTTTTATCATAATATAGCATAATGAGAGATTTACAGGCAGTTTTTTATGCAACAATGAAATGTGATGCAGAATATTTGGAAAAACTCATTTTAGCATATTATCAAAAAATATTTATCATTTATCAATTTATTTATCAAAAAGTGCATATTTACAAAGCTAAAACACACCATTAAAAAGACATTAAAAATATTTAAAGCAAAACAAAAGTTATTTCTTCCCTATATTACTGTAAGCGAGGGATGAAAGGTCTTAAATTCTGGACAAATTTCAGAAATAAATATCCATTCTGAAAACAGACTTCTTACCATTTTTTTCCTACCATGAAAGCCAAGAGATGCCCCATGCACTACGAGTTACCAAATGCCGCTGTGAAGCTTTCGATTACATTGTTTCTTTAAAACAAGCTTGTTTAGTTCGCAGCAGCATTAGGGTGAAGGGGTTTGACTCGAGCCAGACGGGAAAGTCCTAAACGCAGCCCCTGTCCGGGAGACTTCACATGTGCATTCTGAGATGCACCAGGACTCCGACCAACCTGACCTGGAGTTAGAGTTAGAAAGAGTTTACAAGAGGACACTTTTGCTTTTTTGAGCTGTTCTGGACAAAAGTCACAAATGCACAGTGATGGTTTGAGCCTTTGGTCTCACCAGGGGGATTCCACTTAGGCAGTCTGGCCCCTGCAGGACTGGAGCAGACTGCAGGTTTAGAGAGAGGCGGAGTAGTGGGCGTCTTCTTCAGTCCAGACACAGGAGCAGCTGGACTCCGACAGATCGCTGGGATGGGAGCTGTCAGAGAAAGAGATGTTATAGCTGATATGATCTTTCACCAGACTGCAAAATTTAAAAACTGAAAAAAAGAACCTGAGCTTTTAGCTTTTGAGGCTTTTGTTGGCTTTTTGTCTTTTTTTTCTGTCTTGTTCTTCGCAGCCGGTGGTGCCTTTTGTTTCACCACCTTCTTTTTCTTTTTCACAGTGAATGTCTCGTCTTCACTCTCATCTTCTTCAGTGAAGTCTGCATCACTCTTTGAATCTGCAACAGGAACAACCTTAAACAAATGGCTACATTGTGTATCTGAAGTACGACATTTCACCATGTAAGTACTGAAAACATAAGCAGCAGAGTCTAGCTCCATAATAATTAACAGCGTGAAGGTCCTCAGATTACCTGGTGTGTTCTGAGGCTGGTAGTCCTCATCGTCTCTGCTGTCCTTCTTCTCCTTCAGTGGTTTTCTCTGCTCCTTTGAGGTTTCCTTCTGTTTAGAAACACTGGTAGGGGAGGTGTCTATACTGATCAGATTCAGCCCTGAAAACAGGACAGTAAAAAACACAGAGGTGCATATGCATAGAAAATTACAAATTGTAACAATCATAGAAGTCTTGTTTGTTTTTTTATATCAGCCTCATTGTATTCTCAAAAAGAGTTTTACATTTTCAAATTTGTTAAAATCTGACTAATAATAAACCTGCATTACCTAAACTTCTGCCATCAATGCTACAATTTGACAGCACTGGAGGAGAATCTGGAGCAGGCTGACCTTCGCCAACTGTACAAAATCAAGGGAGTTTTGTTTAGAGGTTTTTGCATGGAAATATGTCAAATAAAGCTCCATAAACATGTACTTAGAATCTGTACAAATAACCGAAGAAGATAGAATCAGGTTGTGGCCTTGTAAAAGACAAAACAATTATTCCTTATTACCTAAATGGCTGCCCTCAGCACTACAGTGAATTAGAACCGGTGGCGAACACTGAGGAGGCTGAGAACTTTCATTATCATCTGCAGAACACAGAGAGGCATAAAATAACAGTAAAATATAGCTCTGCACCAGAATGAACTTTATAATGCTTCATTATGCTAGTAGTACATTCACCTGTTTTGGTTGTAGGCTCCCCATCCCGTGTCCTGTCCAGCAATGATAACAATAGAGCCGTCTCTAAATCTCTTTCATAAAGTTTATCATCCACAGACGTCCTGAAACAACACATCAGTCACCCGTCAATGGTGCTATTACATATTTATATACTCAGTGGTCCATTACTGCTCTTCTGTGTGTTGATATTATAATTACACTCTGAATTTTATCTAATTAGTAATAAAAAGTGTTTTGATAGAAAAGTTTTTGTAACCTCTTCCGGCTTCCTGAGCTGGTGAGATCAACGACTTCATTTGGAGATGCACTTGTAGTTTTGTGGTTTCTCAAAGAATCAGGGTCTTTGATGGCTGTTCGAGCTTTTTTGGGAGGAGGTTTCACACATGCAAAATCTTCATCTGTCACAGAAATCGTGTAAACATAGGTCTAACTGGCTTTAGCTCTGAGCATTTTGAAGTAATATTATGAATGTAAATCTCTCACCATCATCGTCTTGTAAGACTGCGTAGTTGACAGCTTTTTTATCTCTGATGACAGGTAGAAAAAAAACAGATTGCATCAAACAAGTAACTGATATTCCAGTTTTCTGAACTCATGAAAATATCAGGACATTAAATGCCACAGACAAACAGCTATCATACAGATCCAACAACAAACACATATAGATATAGAAAGTGACACGACAACCATGATCTAAGGTATAGATTAACTTATTTTGTAATGAAGGTATGGACGTATTTGGAAAACATACATACACACCTGAATGGTCGGTCCATTCTTTATATCAAAAAGAGAAAATAAAATGTCACGTTATGCCCTGTGAATATACATTCAAATACCGACACTACCGCAGTATTTTAACAACCTTTTGTATCTACTGAACGTTATGTTGCAGAACAACCAGCAATCAAAATAATCGTAAATTTAAAAACATAATGGTCACTTAGAAAGTCTGCCTTTGTGTCAAAAGCTTTATATGCATGTTGTTTTGGTGCGAGCTGATGTACACTAACGCAACCCGCCCTGAAAACAAACGGCGGAAATCAATCTTTGAATTCACCAATTTGCAATTCATTAAAACATTTTCTATCGCTGTGTTTCCAGCTTTACATTAGGTAATGGATAAAATATAATTTATTTTTTCTAATTATTATATGGATGAAAAACCGAAACTTGTTCTACCTTGTACAAGCTTTTTGTGCATTTTGCAAAATATCTCGAATCTGCGGATATGGTTCTGCACTGGCTAAGCGTGGACGCGGGAATACGTCACATTAAATGCATTCATTTATAAATTAAAATGAACGTTATAATGTTTTGTTTTTAAGGTTTTATGTTGGTACACTGATGCCTATAGTTGTTAGTTATTTCTGTGAATTTTCTTAATATTTCTTGCTTTTCTAACAATTTACATTGTCTCTCAGTAAAGGAATGAAAGTCGTTTGGAAATACTTAGCAGAGTATTTTGGGGAAAAATGTTTATAAGCAGATTTATAAATGTTATAAGCAGACTAAGTCTGACTGTGACATAGGCTATAGGCCTGATATATATTTTTTGAGGTTTTGGGCTTTGCTTCCATAGAATGTCTTTTTTCAGACTAATGAAAATAAATCATCCAAAATTCACAATTTAATTGTTTGTTACATGTTATTTGCATTTGCATCTGAGCCAAAAATCCTGTCCTCACCTCTATATTCTGGATGTTTTTTACAGAGGGGTTTGTTCAGTTTTTACCTGAAGGCTTTTGAACCCGATTTTATCCTATTTATTAATTTTTTTCTTCTGGAAATGTGTGCACATTTAATAAGACAATGCATAATTTGCATGTTTAAAATAACTTCAGAAAACTTGTAATAAATCAACTGGGGATAGCTGATTAAAATGTTTACCTTATTCACCGGTGTCTTGCCTTAATTCAAGACATAATCCTCAAATCAACTAAGTCTAAATCTTCTTTTAGCATAAGCAGGTCATAGCGTAACTCAAAGGTTGGCTCCAAGCCCCTTCATCCAAAAATAGTCAAAGTGCAGCCTTTGACATTGGAAACAAAACGGAATGTGGAAAGGTTTATTCTTAGAGACTGATATCAGATTGATTCTAAGTGTTCCGTATTCACCTCTAATGATGGGAAAGTCAATGTTAAACCAAATTTCCAATGAGGAGTGCAGCAACCAACAAGCGATAAACAGATGATTTTGAATTAACTTACTTACTTTTTCCTACTGAAGACAAATAAGACACAAATAAATAGAAGAACATATTTTCTTTGATCAAGAAACAACATTTTATTTATTTAAAACGGGCCTATAACATTTCACTGCACATCTAACACTTAAAGCAGCCATATAAATACCATAAATAAAACATATGTAATTCATTAAATAAATAAATACTTTATTGGTTGACAATTGTTTTCCACAGGTGGTGTCCAGCACCAAAGACAAATTCATGATGATGTAAAAAACGGTTTTGTTTCTTCAGGTTTGGTGAGATGCAGATACAAAACAGCCTAAATAACCTGTAGATATCCACTTTTAAAACTATTAAAGGTTCTTTATTGGCACTGATGGTTCCAAGAAGTTTCATGGACGAACAAAAGGTTCTTTATAGTAGAGCAGGGGTGCCCAACCCTGTTCCTGGAGATCTACCTTCCTGCAGAGTTCAGCTCCAACCCTGATCAAACACAACTGAACCAACTAATTAGGATCTGAAGGAGCACTTGATAATTACAGACAGGTG